TTTTAAAAACGAAATATCTCCCTTTGGAGTGGACTTTGAGATTTGTAAGTTTGAAGATCTTTTTTATGCCCAAACATACACACTACACACTGACTAAAATTCAAAAAATGAAAAAGCATAATAGGACCCCTTTAATTTCAATCAGTTGCCAAGGCAACATTTCTGTGTTCTATGTGAAACATTTCATTTACGCTTTTTAAGTTTAGGTTTTAAGTTTTTTAAATGTAATATTTATATTGTATTTAATTTCAGCTTCATCTGTTATCAAAAAAGTTTGTAACAACACTGCTCTCAAGGAAAACGTTTTGATTAATATTGAAAGCAGAAAAAAAAAAATATATATATATATAATTTTTTTTTTTTATGTCAAATCAAGAATTTGGGTTGATTTTTCGTTTATACAATCGATAAATAGCTTGAATATTCGATTTCCACATGTTGACGGGAATGATTTCTGCTGATTGGTCAACCAAAGATCAACATTAGTTCTTCTATGGTCAGTTTGAAGAGGTTTGCGCTGAGAAGGTAAACATGTTTATAGCAGCTAACAGAATAAAACCGCATCCCATTTAATAGCACTTGAAGCAATCAAATGACTTTCTTGAGCAGGGCGGTTTGTTTCCTCCACAGTGAGGCGCCGTCTGTGTTTATGTACTCGTGTAAAGTGTGTTTCTGACTCCTCTCCCGTCATTAAACACAGCCAGTGCACTTTCTGTTCTTCTGCTGTGTGTACAGACAAACACACACACTGTTCCTGCAGCGTGACTCAGAGCCGTGTGTTTACGAGCGTCAGTGAGACTGCAGCACTGATGTTCTCCTAATATGGTTGAATCTGTTGAGTCATTCATCTTGTTGGGAGATTCTGTAAACTGCTCTCTCTTTCTTAGGGTATGTTTGGAATGGCCTGCTACTCATACTGCTCCCCCTATGTTTCTATCAGTAAGCTGTATGTATACTGTGCACAGTATGCTAGATTCCTGTACACATGAAATGTGATTCTGTTTAACTTCTTATTCAGATCATTTTAGCATTATAAATGCAAATTATAAATTATAAATAATATAATTTATAAAAGCAAAATAATCTAGGGATGCACAGTACATTGACACCATATTGGTTATCAATTATTGATTTATTGATTTATTTATACGTCTTGTTTGATAAAAGATATTTCTCTCTTTGACTCATTATTTGATCAGATTGACAAAAGTTACAATATTTTTACAGAAAATGTTATCTAATGCAAAATATCCATATTATTTGGTGAGATGATAACTGATGCCACTCTGATTTAAAATGCATGTAGTGAGGGTATGTGATGTCGAAGTAAAAAAAATGGTAAATGTTATAATATTTAGCAATAAACTATATATTGTTTATTGTAATATAATATAATAAATTAAATATTTAAAAATATGTATTGGATACTGTTCGAAAATATGTATATATTAAATATTTTTTTAAATATACAGTTATAATCAGTTTCTAAAAATCTGTAAATAAGTATTGTTATAGTATTCCAGCGTTTTTTATTACAAATTTTATTTACTCTTTATTTACATTTCTTCTGACCACAATCACTGAAACACACACATCACAACACAGTTATGACTTCCCAGCAGTATTATTTTAGTATTATTTAAATACTATTATATTGTTTATTAATATGTTGAAGTAGCTATATTTTCATTTTAATTAAAAAAACAAATTCTTTGTTTAGTAATTTTTTTTATGTCTTTTTTCTATATTTCTAACATTATTTTTATTTCCGTTTTTGTTTTAGTAATTTTAGTACTTCAACTTAAACATGTTTATTTTAGTCAGTTGTTAAGGCACCATTTAAAGTTTTCTCTTACATTTTTAAAGTTTAAGTTTTTCATCTAATATTTTTATTTTAGCTTATTTTACCTTTGTTTCAATTACTAATAAAAGTTTTAGTTAACAATAACAACACTGCTTCCCAGCATACTGTTTGAAATAGTTGCATTCTGCCTTGTTTCACATACTATGTTTAAAAGTAGGCAGTGTACAGTATGTACTGTGTAGTATATTAGTATCGTGAGTATAGAAATACAGTGACGTTATCCGAACTACCAAGGATGCAAGTCCGAACTTTGCGTACTTGGTATTGAGAAACAGCCATTCTTTCCTCATGTTATTTATCCGCAGAATCCTGTGTTGTTCAGTTGTATTGTTTTGTGTTTGTGTGTGTAGAGTTCTCATATCCCGCTGATAGACGCTCTGATGATGGCGTATACGGTGGAGATGATGGCTATAGAGAGAATCGTGGCAAGTGTCAAGCGCTTCTCCACCTTCTGCGCCTCTAAAGAGCTTCCCTTCGACATGGAGGACGCCATGCTGTTCTGGATCAACAAGGTCAGTGGTTAATTTATTTCTTTAGTAAAAACAGGTGACAAGTGCACACCTATGCGTTGCGGCTATTTTGCTAACCCTGACGAAGGCTGCGCTTGTCACCTGTTTTTAAAACTTAGCCATGATGAAATAAAGGCTTTTTAAAACTTTTTGAATAAGATTCGAGTGCCGTTAATTTATTTCTTTAGGGAGCCCGTTTAAGTTCAAATATAATGTTAGTCAAGGTTTGCACCAAACATGTTGTGATGTAGTTTAATTTTATTTTCACTCTCTCTGAGCCTTAGAATTAAACGGGTTATTTTTGCTACTGTACCTTTTAGTGTAAATAGCAATATGATTTTCCTTTTTTTCAGGATTCTTTGATGAATAGAAAGGTCAAATGAACAGTGTTTATTTGAAATATAAATCTTTTGTAACATTATAAAGGTCTTTACTGTCACTTTTGATCAATAAACATAAGAAAAATAAACAAATGAATAAAATAAATGGAAATATAACAAACAAAATTATAATTTAAAATTAAAAAGAAAGAAAGAAAGAAATCAGGGTTATTATAATTACCTAAAACTAAAGATTAAAAAAAAAACATTCATTATTTAAAAAGAAACTAAAATATAAATATAAAAATATAATAAAATATAAAAAAATTATTTCAGCTAGCTGCCAAGGCAACATTTCTCATTTTTATTAAAACTAGAAATGAAATAAAAATGAATAAAAAATTCTTTCTATATAT